GAGCAAGAGCGCGTCCCCCCGCCCTTCTCCGCACAGCATGGGAGGAGGAGCAGCCAGCCCAGGAAATAGCGAGGGCCTAGCTTGCGTCTCAGGGGCGAGGAAGGAGGAGATGGGATGAACAAGGTCACACACTGCTGAGAGGGTGAATGAAGGAACTGGGGGACTGGACCCTGACCATAAAGAACCCTTTCCTGGAGAGGTGGATGAGAGTTCTGAGCCAGAGACAGTCGACCCATCTGGGACTCCACATGTGTTATTAAAGAGTTGAAAGTAAGACAGTTTTGTTTTATGAAAGAGATCCTCTTTCACAATAAGGGCATGGTACAGGATTTAGGCGCACAACTTTTGGATACCCAAGTTCATCAGGATATCCACATTGTCTGAAATGTGAGCTGAAGCCCTGAGGGGGAGATATGGTTCTTCCCCCCAAAGTGGTTGTGGCTGTCAGGACAAAGCAAGCACTCACAAGTTGCCACCTCTGCCCTGCCTAGCCTGTGCCTCACCCCTGTCAAGGGAATAGAAGCTAAATTCTGTAAAATAATTTTAAAGAGATTTATTCTGAGCCAAATTTAAGGACCATTATCCAGAATCACACCCAAGAAACCTTGCACAAATGGACTGCTTGCTGTGGTTGGGTTACAGTTTGCTTTTATACATTTCAGAGAGACAGGGGTTACAAGTAAAGTCATAAATCAATACATGGAAGGCATACATTGGTTTGGCCCAAAAAGGTCAGCCATCTTGAAGGGGGAAGGGATTACAGGTTATAGGTGGGTTTAAGGACTCTGATTTATAATCAGCTAAAGACGTGAACCTTTGTCTAAAGGCTTGGGATAGCCAGGCGTGGTGGTTCACGCCTGTAATCCTAGCACTCTGGGAGGCTGAGGCTGGTGGATCCTTTGAGGTCTGGAGTTCCAGACCAGCCTGAGCAAGAGCGAGACCCCATCTCTACCAAAAATAGAAAAAATTAGCTGGGCATGGTGGGCCTGTAGTCCCAGCTACTCAGGAGGCAGAAGGATCACTTGAGCCCATGAGTTTGATGTTGTGAGGTAGACTGACACCACAGCACTCTAGCCTAGGCAACAGAGTGAGACTCTGTCTCAAAAATAAATAAATAAATAAATAAATAAAGGCTTGGGATGTTGGAGGTCTGTTAATCAGAGACAAGCCATTGGACATACATTTGTTGTGTAAATTGAGGACAGGTTTGTCCTTAGGCCTGTTATTGGGTTATAAAGAATATCTCCAAGAAGGGATGGGGCATGTCTGACCTCCCTCCTTGAGGCAGGCAATTTAGTTTTAGGATATCCCCTTGGCCAAGAGGGGTCCATTCAGTCAGCTAGTTGCCGGGGAGCCTTAAGATTTTATTTTAGTTCACACCCCTGAGCAAGTGTGCTCTTGCCAGTGTGAGTGCAGAAGGTAACCCTGGACCCCAAGGAGTCTGAAGGGTCCAGGGGCATCTAAACATCCAGTCCTGGGACATTATACAAGTTTAGCACTACCCACAACAACACTGCATAGCCTACGTAAGGAGGCAATCCCGACTCAAGTTCCCCTCCTGGCCTAGGTTCCTCTGTCCTTGTGAAAAGACATGAAATGATGGTTCCTGGTCTTGTGCCCAAATCTGACCTGGCTCCTGACCAACTGTGGACCTGGGCAAATCCATTCCCTTCTCTGAGCCTCAGGCCTCCTCCCAGGATCAGGCCACAATTTGTTAGGTAGCTAGTGAGGGATTCTGGGTCTCCTAGGGGGGAGAGTGCATGCTGTTGCCCCCATCTTAGTCCTGCCCCACCCTAATTCTCCATACCTGGGTGAGGAGAGAATACTCTACGAATCTGCCAAGTAGAACTTGGTACACCAGCTGCAAAAGAATACAGAGGATTCTCTAGCCCACAGGCCAAGCAGCTTGGGTACCATAAAGTCAGGAAAGTGACCTAGAACCCACGTGTGTAAAGCTCAGGTCATGTGACCCCCAACTGTCCAATCAAAGTGGTTCCATGGGAGGTCCTTATCCCTGCACTATAAAATATGACGCAGACCATATCTACCTTCTTTTGGCACTCTAACCTTGGCAACAGGATGAGACTCTGTCTCAAAAAAAAAATAAAGGATGCAAGGAAGAAGTTTATTTTACTTTACCAGGAGTAGGAAAGGGCTGAACATGAGAGAGAATGGAAAAGTGTATCGGCCTAGAAAAACCTGCTACTCAGAGCTTTTATGTGGAGATGTAAAAAACAGGATGAAAGATGATTTATGGTCATAGTCAAATTAACAGAATGTTGTGAATTGCCATATCCCTCCTTCTAAACTGCAAGCAGATAATAGAATGGCTGTGTGAGAGTTTGGCATTTGTTTCTTTTCTTTGGCAATAGATAGCAGGAATGGCTGTTAGAGATCTTGGCACTGACCTTTCCCTCAAGATATGAGTTTGGGCTGGATTTGAGATTTGAAGTTTGTCCCCCCTGTTGTCATCCAGGAGCTTGTCAGGAACTAATCCAGGCTATAGAAGCATACTAAAAGTCATTAGGTACTGGGCCATAACAGTTTGCAAACCAAGAAAAAAGAATAAAAGAATTTTGTAAATATTTAAAAAAAATTTTATAAAAGTCATTAGGTCTAGGCCGGGCGCGGTGGCTCACACCTGTATTCCTAGCACTCTGGGAGGCCGAGGCAGGCGGATTGCTCGAGGTCAGAAGTTCGAAACCAGCCTGAGCAAGAGCAAAACCCGTCTCTACTATAAATAGAAAGAAATTAATTGGCCAACTAATATATATATCTAAAAATTAGCCGGGCATGGTGGCGCATGCCTGTAGTCCCAGCTACTCGGGAGGCTGAGGCAGAAGGATCACTTGGGCCCAGGAGTTTGAGGTTGCTGTGAGCTAGGCTGACGCCACGGCACTCACTATAGCCTGGGCAACAAGCGAGACTCTGTCTCAAAAAAAAAAAAAGTCATTAGGTCTAGCAACTGTAAAAAATTTATATTTCCATTTTGGGCTCTTTTCAGGTGTTTTGTTTTGTTTTGTTTGAGACAGAGTCTTACTCTGTTGGCTGGACTAGAGTACCATGGCATCTGCCTAGCTCACAGCAACCTCAAATTCCTGGGCTCAAGGAATCCTACTGCCTCAGCCTCCCAAGTAACTGGGACTACAGGCATGCACCACCATGCCTGGCTAAATTTTTTTTCTATGTAAAAAATAACTTTTTTATCTTCTTTTTGGTTGGTCAACAAAAGAAAAAAAAATACATTTGAAGGATTATAATACAAAGACCAGAATTGAAAATACCTTGAGCAAAGAGCACAATAATATATTTTTAGTCAATTAATTTCTTTCTATTTATAGTAGGGACAGGGTGTCCTCTTGCTCCGGCTGGCTTCGCACTCCTGACCTTGATGATCTGCCTGCCCTAGGCCTACCAGAGTGCTAGGATTACAGGTGTGAGCCACCGCACCCGGCCCCCATCTACATTTTAACTTGAATTTTGGTTGATCTGTTTCTGAGAGGAGTGTTCAAATCTCAAGCCACAACTGTTGGACGGTCCAAGTCAATGCAAGGAAAAAAGAAAAACAACTGTTGGACAGTCTGTTTCTCTCTGTGGTTCTGTCAGTTGTTGGTTTTGGTATTTTGAGGCTGTATTAGGTGTGTGGTACATGTTTCTGTTTGTACAGCTTCCTTCTTTGCTTATAAATTTTGATCTTAATCCTTTTTTATCTTTGATTTCTACTTGGTATGATATTAACATTGCTACCCCAGCTTTCTGGTTCATATCTACCTAGTATAGCAAGGCAAACTACTGGTTCCTTACCAGTATCTACTCTCACATTATTTGATGATAAGAATTTTGATTTTTATCCGGCATGTTGCTCCCAGTGTAGACTACATTTTAAAGCCTATCTTAAAGTTCTTTCCAGGAGTGCATAACACCCTGAAAAATCATATCAAACGATAACTAAGTGTATATGTATATAACAACCCCCAGGCCTGGCACTGCCCCAAGCCCTGCTCGCTTTGCCGCCCAGTGGGTCCGGGGATTGCTGCGACCCGGCTCCGACCTCCGCAGCCCACCCGGGCCTGGCAGGCGGGGTGCAGGGAGTGAGCACGAGTAATGGAAATTCGCCCCCTCGGATCCCCAGTGGGAACGGAGCACTGAGGACGCGTACACCCCTCTGTCTTCCAGCGCCCATCGGGCCTCTCCAGATACTTAGCCCCTCAAGCCTGGGGGTCACCGCACGCAGCCCCAGCCCTCAGCCGCTCTCGCGATAGCCCTCCCCGGGAGCCCGAGAGCGCCGAGACTACAGGGCGCCACCGAGGTGCGTAGTCCTCCGAGTCTCCCAGAGCGGCGTCGCGGCCCGTTTCTGGGGCGGGTCAGAATCTGGAGTTCTGTGCGCCCGGCTCCCTACGCTCCCCTCGTTGCTGTCCCGGGCGGCCGGCCAGGGTGAGTCGGCCCCGGCCGCGGGGCGGGGACTGTTGAGGGGCTCGGTCCTCCGATCCCGGCCCGGCTGAGGCTGTGGCCCGCGCAGAGGCCGCGCTGAGCACGGTGGGGAGGTGATTCGCGGACGGCGATGCCACCTCGCTTCTCCTTTGGTCCAGAGGACCTTGGGGAGTGTCCGGGCAGGCGAAGGGCCCGGGGTCCCAGTTCCTCTCGGCTGCGATGGGAGGCGTGCGGGGCTCCCGCTGCACCCGGCATCCCGGAGTCAAGTTGTTTGCGCAGAGCTGAGGCTGCAGGGTAGGGAGGCCTGGTGAGGTGGGGGCTTCCCCTGGGAGAACCAGGCTCTGTCCGAGTTTGCACCTCCCTCGGACTCACGCCTGCAGGCGTCCGAGCGAACCAGCTCCGGAGCGACAGGCTCTGGCTGGAGGATTTCCCCACTTCCCTGGCGCGCCTTCTCCCCTGCACACTTTTTTTTTCCGGCGGACACCCTTTTCCTCCCCCCATTTACCCCGTGCAGCTTTTGCTACTCCCGGGATTAAGGCATCGGTTGGGCAACAGTCATTTTGTAAGTAGTTTTGTAAATAGAGTGCTTACTGTGTCCAGAGGATTCTTCTAGTGCTGGGGACACCGCAGTGAACAAGAAACGGCCCCCACCTCTTGGAGCATGTATTGCAATAGAGATGAGGCATTAATGTAATAGACACAATAAACAAACAAATAATTTTTAATCGTGACAAGGGGTACGCAGAAAAAAACCCAAAGAGATAAAATTGCTAGAGATGAGGGAGTTAGGGTAGCCCTGGTAGTCAGGGAAGGCCTCTCCAAAGAGTTAACATTTGAACTGAAACCTGATGGCTAGAGGGAGCAGCCTTGCCTATCCCTAAGAAGAAACTTCCAGCCCGAGGGTACAGAGGCTTCGGCTGGTTTGAGTGACAGAGAAGGCTCCTTGGCTGCAGAGTAGTGAGCAAGGTGCCCCGGGCCTCTGAGGAATAGAGTTTTATTCTAGGGTTGGAGGGAGGTGACCCTTCCTGGTCGTCAGACCCCAATTACATGTTATTTCCCACAAGAAGCCCTCCCTGACCCTTCATCTAAATTAGCACTTCTCCTACCTTGATATTTTCTCTGTTAGCACAATGAGCAAGAGCTTGACCTATTTTGTCATCATATCCCTGCTCCATTCTTTAACCCCAGCACTGTTTAATCTGATTAAAAGCTTGTTTTCTGATTCCAAAGGTAGAACTAAAAGCAGATTTTTTCCCTCTCTAACCAGTAGCCCTTCCCTGAGGACATGCACTCCCCAGACATGAGCAAACAAAAACCAGCAGTGGTAACTTGTCCCCCTCCTAGCCCTGGGTTACAGTTCTCTCCACAGTGGAGAGTGGTATGTGTTGAGGGGTAGGGTGGCTCGTGTCTTTGGCAACCTTTTCCCCTGAGATACGCTGGTTGCCTTGTTTGAGTGAGTAGGACAACAGATCTGGCAATAGCAATGGCCCAGGTGGGTCCTGCCCACAGATTGCCCTGGATAGATAGCTGATTAGGGGCTGGATGGGGGTGGGGTGGCTCTGCTCTTCCATGCATTTGCAGTCTGTGCTGTTCAGGCACAGGTGACTCACAAGCCTGTCCAATCTTCCCCCATAGCCCTTCATACTCTTAACATGTCAAAAAGGCTCTGCTGCCAAATGTCACCTCACAGCATTGTAACCAAGCAACCAGCCTGCTTCTACCCATACACATTTTGTTAACTGATGCCTGAAGAGGAACATCTCTTTACAAAGTGGCAGCTACTTACAGGGCTCAAGCCCCACAGAAAAGGATATCCTCAAAGACCTCCACCCAAACACAAGAACTCACATGTCTGTTGAAGGGAAGAGTGAGGAGAGCAAGGCCTCATGCCTACTGTGTGTATATCTTGTCAGAGCAGAATTATATTTATTGTTTTTTAAATAACTTTTCCCTTGAGTCAGGGCTATAAGAATGAAAAATAAAATCGATAGGAAAGAACTAATAAAAAATTAACTTTTCCACAACCAGAAAGTTAAAACATGTTGGTACATAATAAAATAAGTCTTGAAGAAATTAGAAAAATAGAAGAAAAACAAGAACTACCCATAATTCTATGTCCCAGAAAGAACTGGGTGAATATTCTGGGGTTTATGTTGCCAGGTTTATTTTTCTGCTTGTTTTGTGTAGTAATATAGCAAGAATGTTTTCTGGTGTTCCACAACATGGTTTTACTGGTCGCAGAGTCATCCACGTCAGGGATCCCTTTGTTCATTTCACAAATCCTTATTGAGTGTTTGCTGTGTGCCAGGCCCTGGGGATAGAAACTGGAGGCCTTGTCTCTTGGGGGAAGGCAGATAAGAAGCAAGTAAGCTAACTTGTCTTATGGTCAGATGACAGAGAGCTGTGGAAAAAAACCAAAGAATAAGGAATTCTGGTAGAAGGGGAGGCAGCGGTTTTAAATAGTATCATTCAGCAAACATTGGAAGGAGTGTAGGTGAGCAGGTCTTGGGTGCAGCTTCTTCTTGGGACATGAGGGAAGTGGCTAATGTGCTTGCCTCAGCATCTCACTATTTCCTGCTGTCTTCTGGATCTGGGGGGTCCTGGGGTCGTAGGGCCTCTGGCCTGGGCTCCTTCCACTCATGGCTGTGTGTTCCCCCAGCATGTACCATCTCTAGCACCTGCTCCGCTCCCACTGGCTACCCTGGAATGGTGATGGCACTCCCAATGCCTGGACCCCAGGTAAGTATTCTCTCTGGGCCTATCTGCTGCCCCAGGGTTCTGTCTTTGCCCCCAGCCTCAGCTCTTCAGCCCTGAGCATCTTCCCAGGGAGCCTCAGGCCCACTCACATCACAGAATGGAGCCTGCAAGCTGAGGGCAGCCTCCTCCCTCTATGGCCAAGCCTCACACGAGGCTCTGTTGACTCCTTCCTGATGCTTTGGGCAAAAGTGGGCTGCCTGGGGCCCCCTGTAGCCCCTGAACATCTGTCTAGGGTCAGCCAGCACCCATCCTCCCCAGTGCCTGCCTTCGTCCTGGTGTGAATGGTCGGTGCCACTCTCCCGACTCTGACTTCACTGCTGGTGTTGGAAACTAAGTCCCAGAGGGCAGAATGTTCACCCCCAATGTGGAGGCTCAGCCACTAGTATCTCTGGGGTGCTCCTTCCCCAAAATCCCTGATGGCCCATTCAAGAGGGATGGAACCAAGGTTGAGATCCCCTTCTTAGCAGAATCTCTCTCCCTTCCTCAATTTCACCTTCCCCCTCTTACCTTCTGGGGTTTCTGCTGAGGAGGAGGCTACTCTCTTGGGGAATGTTGGGGTGCTCCCTCTGTGATGGGCCCTGGGTATACAGCAGTGACAGAAGCCTCAACTTCCAGAGCCAGACAGATCACCCAAATGTTCCTAATGTGGCCTCTCCATCTCCTGGGTCCTTGCTGAGGCCTCAACTGCCCAGGACAGCAGGGTTTGTGGTTGCAGGAGTCCATTGTGTTTGAGGATGTGGCTGTGTACTTCACGAGGATAGAGTGGAGTTGCCTGGCCCCCGATCAGCGGGCACTCTACAGGGACGTGATGCTGGAGAACTATGGGAACCTGGCCGCACTGGGTGAGGGCTTCTTTCTTCGGTCCTGGGGCTGGGAGGTGTTTCTGCGTTAGGCTCAGAGATGACCCTGCCTCGTCCACCAGGCCTTGGGGAATTGGTTCCTTTCCAAATGCGAAATCTGACATGTTTGGAGGGGAAGCTGGAGGCTCCCCAGGAGTCCCTTCCTGCTTCCCATTGGGCATCCACTGTGCAGCCTTGGCCTGCCCGGGCTTCTCTCTAGGGCAGCCCCCCTCCCCTTGACCACCCATCTGCCCCTCCTGGGATGGTGAGTTTTCCTGACCCTCGCAGCATTCTGTGCTCCCAAGACCTCCAGCAGGCAGCTGGGCATCTTTCCTTTCCCTGCGCCCAGTCACGTGCTGCTTTCCCTCCCTGTGCTCAGGCTTTCTTATCACCAAACCAGCACTGATCTCCCTCTTGGAGCAAGGGGAGGAGCCAGGGGCCTTGATTCTGCAGGTGGCTGAGGAGAGAGGAACCAAGGCCAGCCTGTGCACAGGTGAGTGTGAGGCACAGGGTAGCCAGGGCTGCTGGAGCATCACAGGGTATGTCATGCAGCTCCCAGCTTGGCCTGGGCTTTGTGCAGCTCCATGCAGGCCGCTTCCTGCACAATGGGAGGTGTGCATGTTTAACTTCTCACAATGAGCCAAAGTCCTATGGAATGCTGTGGTTGTAGGTCTAAGGTCACCCAAGACTAACTTGTGCATGAGTTCTTTGTCTTGGTGTCCCCACAGTGTCAGGGGCCAGGTCCGTGAGTACAGCGGGCACTACCCTTCGGTGTCTTTGATTTTTCCCAGTTCCCATGTCCCATGTGCCAGGGACTGGGCTCAGGGCAACAGAGGCTACAGAGAGGACTCTGAGATGGGGAGGAGGCCCCTAGTTCTGGAGTTCTGCAGAGGCAGGGCCCCCGACAAGTTTGCTGAGTGAATGGACTGTGGGTGATCCCTCTGAAGGAGAGAGGAGCAAAGAACAGGGCTGTGGGACAAGAGGGGCACTCCATGCCCAGCATCCGTGTCTTCCTGCCAGGCCTTGAGCCTCCCTGTGGGCTCCCCACCTACCAGCCTCCCATGGTGCTTAAGCCTTTCTTAGCCTCCCTTTTTGTTCCCCTTTCTCACCTGAACCATGATTTTAAAACTTCTTGCAAGAATTTCTCAAACCTCCCTATACCTTTGACATAAAGGTTCTATCTTCACTTGATTGCATTAATTTCACAATGTATATATAGTATACCTTGAATATATATAATTTTAGTCATTTATACTTCAGTAAAGCTGGGGGGAAGAGACTTGGAAAAACAAAAGATTCTGTCTTCAAATCAGTAAGTTCCTTTTGTGAGTGTAGCGGCTAGATCATCCTTGAATTTTGTGTTTATTCTCTTAGATTCCGGGATGGAGGCTGGTATGGCAGAATCTCCTCCGAAGAGGGAGATCTCTAGGCAGGCTGGACTGTCAGGAACGGTTTGGGGGTGCCTCCCCAGGAGGGACCCCAAGCTATCTGACCTGAATGGCAGTACTGAGGACAGGTCAGATAAACAACGTCTCCTCCCCTGGGCTCAGGCTGAGGAGTTAAGCATCTCCCCAGGGGCTCTGCGAGAAGAATGGGGCAGCCGGCCTGCAAGGAGCTCTGCTGCCAGCGGGCAGAGAGGCTACAGGTGCGAGTGCGGCAAGGTGTTCAAGTACAACTCTCTGCTGCTCAGGCACCAGATCATCCACACAGGGGCCAAGCCCTACCAGTGCACCGAGTGTGGGAAGGCCTTCAAGCAGAGCTCCATCCTGCTGCGGCACCAGCTGATCCATACTGAGGAGAAGCCCTTCCAGTGCAGCGAGTGTGGGAAGGCCTTCCGGCAGAGCACGCAGCTGGTGTCCCACCACCGGGTCCACACCCGGGAGCGGCCCTATGAGTGCAGTGAGTGTGGCAAGACATTTACTCGCAGCTCCCGGCTCCTGCAGCACCAGAAGTTCCACACAGGGGAGAAGGCCTATGAGTGCGGTGAGTGTGGCAAGGCCTTCTGCCGCCGGTTCACCCTCAATGAGCACTGCCGCATCCACAGCGGGGAGCGGCCCTACAGCTGCCTACGGTGTGGGCAGCGCTTCATTCGAGGGTCGTCACTCTTGAAACACCACAGGCTGCATGCCGAGGAGAACCCCCAGGACAATGGTGGAGGTCAGAGCCCCTTGCTTGGTGCAGCACAGAAGGCCCATGCCGGGGACAAGTTCTACAAGTGCTCTGTGTGCCAGAAGCCCTTCAGACACAACTCTCTGCTCCTTCTGCACCAGCGGCTTCACACGGGTGAGAAGCCGTTTGAATGCTCGGAGTGTGGCAAGGCCTTCAGTCGCAAGTCCAACCTCACTCTGCACCAGAAGATCCACACCAAGGAGAAGCCCTTCACATGCACGGAGTGCGGCAAGGCTTTCCGCAGGAGCTACACACTGAACGAGCACTACCGGCTCCACAGTGGCGAGAGGCCATACAGGTGCCAGGCCTGCGGGAGGGCCTGTAGCCAGCTGTCCACCCTCATCCAGCACCAGAAGATCCATGGCCGGGAGCATCGGCAGGGTGGGGGTGGCAGGCGGGTGCCCCGCTGGACTGCCCGTTGACAATTACAATAGGCAGAAGATTTACCCACCCCAGAGGTGCCCCAGCACAGAAAGCTGTAAACCCACACCCTGAGGGTACAGCAAAGGAAGGGGCCAGGGAGGGTCTGTCCCAGGGTCAAGCATAAGGAGCACAAGAGGGAGATGAGCAGGACAGGGAGGAGGGTGTGCCTGGAGTGAGTCCCTGCTGGCCCTCAGAGTGGCAAGGCTGCATGTGGGTGTGCCAGGACAGCAGCTTTCTGAGCCCAGATAAGTCTGTCCTGATGCACACACAAGCTCCAGCAAACCAAACGGAGATTGTGGGTGGGGCATTTTTCTTTCTTTTTTGAGACAGTGTCACTCTTTCACCCCAGCTAGAGTTGTAGTGGCGTCATCATAGCTCACTGCAACCTCAAACGCCTGGGCTCAAGCGATTCTCCTGCCTTAGCCTCCCAAGTAGCTGGGCGCGTGCTACTGCAGCCAGCTAATTTTTCTATTTTTAGTAGAGGTGGGCTCACACTGTTTCTCAGTCTGGTCTCAACTCCTGAGCTCAAGAGATTCTCCCACCTCAGCCACCCAGAGTGCTAGGATTACAGGCGTGAACTGCTCTTCCTGGCCTATCTTTTTGCACTTGTTTATTTTCTAAATGTTGACTTGTGATCAGAAAAAAAAAGGGGTGGGTGAGTGGGTATTGTTGGTTTGGCCATTCACTTAATTAAGATTGGCTAGGAAGATCAGAGGCTACTTGAAGGGGCAGGGACATGGGACATTCCTAAGTCACAGGTGGACTGAGGGTGCAGACGTACCAGGGGCAGAGGCCAGGAGCTGAGGTGGGGCCTGCAGGCTCCTTGTGGCCTTCGGAGCCTCTAGGCAGGCTGTGACTGCGGGGACCTGCCTTCACTGGGCCTGTCCACAGAGGGTCTTACTGGAGAAGCCTCTGATGACCTGCTGGCAAGTGAGCAAGTCTTGGTGACCCCTCCTCACCATTAGTTCCCAAGCCCCAAGAATGCAGGCAGCTTCCTGAGCACCTTACAAACATGGGCTAGAAAGGAAGACGCCAGCCCAGACCCCAGCTAAGGACCTGACCTGTGACTGTGTATTTTCTAATTAACATGTTTTTTTCTAAATATAAAATCATTAGAGAACATTTGGAAAATGTAAAAATTTATTTGTAAAAAATTGCCCTCCTCTCTGGAGATAGCTACTATTAATGTTTTGGTGTGTTTTCATAGTCTCTAATGCATATATACAGATATTTATTTTACAGAATTTGGTCAGTTGTGCATATAATTTTGTCCCTCATTGGATAATAGCTCCTCTGTACCTCTGCCACTTTGTGTGGACCTTGATTTACTTAGTAGTTACCTTATTGCCAGATCTTTTTTTACATATTTTCACTATAATAGCTGAGCACACAGTGGACATATACAAGTTTGCACATGTCCATGGTGACCCCATTGGAGTCGGAGGTGGACTTTTTAGGTCCACAGTTGTTGGAGATGGAGAGGGACTGTTGTTTAAGCATTTCATTAATCATGAAAAATATCACTCTTGATTTAATTTGCATTTTTTGGCCTTCTGATGGGTGAATTCCCTGTAAACTTTTGCACCCATTTTTCTTGGGTTTTTAAGACCTCTGTTAGGGTTCAAATCCCTTTTCCCTGATATCTCTGTTTCCTCAATTGTGATACAAACCATTAGCTATTTGGTTTTTTGCCTTTTGGCAAGGAGTAGGTGGATGGGGGATAAAGTGCATCTTAGACTTGAGGAAATGATACATTACAAATATTTCCTTAATTCTTTGCTTTTAATTATGAGGTGTTTGATATAAAAAAATGCATTTCCCTGAGCCGGTGTGGCAGCTTAGGCCTGTAATACTAGCACTCTGGGAGGCTGAGGTGAGAGGATTGCTTGAGCTCAGGAGTTTGAGACCAACCTGAACAAGTGTGAGACCCCGTCTCTACTAAAAATAGAAAAATTAGACAGGTGGTGGTGGCACACGCCTGTAGTCCCAGCTACTCAGGAGGCTGAGGCAGGAGATCACCTGAGCCCAGGAGTTTGCGGTTGCTGTGAGCTAGAGCACAGCACTCTAGCCCGGGTGACAGAGTTAGTTTCTGTCTCATTAAAAAAAAAAGCATTTCCCCTGTGTCAAAACTATCAGTTCTGAATGATTAGAAAGGGCTTCTCTACTCCAAGATTTTATAAAACATTTTCTTGTACTTTGGTAAAATCACTGAAGTAATATAGTAAAAACAAAAAAACAGTAAAACCTCAATATTGACACAGGAGGTAGAAGCCCCCTCTCCCTTCTCCTTACCCCACACTCCCCCTTATTCCCATACATACCCCTGTTAACAGGTTCAGGTAGGTCATTCCAGATCTTTTTCTCTGCATTTCATGTGTGCCAAGAGGGCACATGCGTTTACAAACGGGATTACTGTATATGTGGTTGTGATGGCTTTTGATGTGTCCACTTGCTGGGCTAAACTGCAGCCTTCAGAATCCCCTTTCAGGGATGATTCTGGCGAGGCAGACTACAAGGGGGTCTTCTTTTGGGAGAGAGAGAGGAAGGAAGGGAGGCAGCTGATGTTTTGTGGTTTGCACACACCTCGAGGTTGTTCAAACACTAACCTAGGTGCAGCTGTGCAGAGATTTTGCAGATGGGATTAATGTACCTAATCGACTTTAATCAAAGGGAGATTATCCTGGCAGGCTTAACATATTAGTTAGAAGGCCTTTAAAAGCTTAGGCCTCCCTGAGCCTCTTGCTTGTGGATGAGGTTTAGTTCATGCCCCTGAGTCCCAGCCTGCTGGTGGCCTTCTCTCCTGACTGCCTGCTCCGGAAACTTTGGGTTTCCTCAGCAGCTCCCACAATTTCAAGCTACTTGTCCCTTATTAGTTCTGCTTCTCAGGTGGACCCCTGAATGATGGGAGAACTTTTTGTAACTTGGCTTTTCTTTTTTCTTTTTTTTGAGACAGAGTCTTGCTTTGTTGCCCAGGCTAGAGTAAGTGCCGTGGCGTCAGCCTAGCTCACAGCAACCTCAAACTCCTGGGTTCAAGTGATCCTCCTGCCTTAGCCTCCCAAGTAGCTGGGACTACAGGCATGTGCCACCATGCCCGGCCAATTTTTTTCTATATATATTAGTTGGCCAATTAATTTCTTTCTATTTATAGTAGAGACGGGGGTCTCACTCTTGCTCAGGCTGGTTTTGAACTCCTGACCTCGAGCAATCCGCCCACCTGGGCCTCCCAGAGAGCTAGGATTACAGGCGTGAGCCACTGCGCCCGGTCTGTAACTTGGCTTTTCTAACTGGCACTTGACTGCGTCCTTCCACACAGGCACAGGCAGAACTACCTTGTTCTCTGCCCACCATGTGCCATTGGTGATTATTCGTTCCATGATACACAATGCATTGCTGCCCATCCCATGTGCATACAACGCTGCAGTGAGATCCTTTACATAAATAATGGCTGTCACCTTTTCCCATTAGTTTGTGAGCCACATCCCAAAGCTTTAGACACTGGTGCTCTCACAGAACTAGAGGCTTTGCTGGGCTTCTATTTCCAGATAATCCCAGATCCCTGACCTCCCACCTCCAGTCTCCTGCCAGGGCTGCCCATTGGCCAAATCACCTGGAAGCCAGAGGTCATGAAAATCCACTGGCTGGGTGGACATAGGAGACCTGGGCAGGGACCAGAGGCAGAGGTGGGGAGGGTTGGCCTTGCCTGACCTGGGTGTTCTTCCTAACGCTTGCTGCCAGCAGTCACTCTGCACCATGAAAGTCAATCCTTGGCCCATCGGCTGTCCTTAGGCTAAGAGCCCAAACAAAACATTAAGAAAAGAGAAGTCTGGTTTTTCTGGTGCCATATTGTTAGGCCTATCTCAGTGTTCCCTGGTCCTCGGTTGGTTCCCAGTGTCAAAAGTAATTACTGGTATCAACTTGAGCTGGTGACGCAGTGATCACAAATACAAAGCAATCCCACACAAACAATTTATTACAGAAAAGAAACTATACAAAGTGAAAGGAAGGAAGGAAGCTACCCAAAGTGAAAATACGTTCCAGAGAAAGGAACAGGTTAGTCTCTACAAGTGGAGAAATAGGTTGAGGACTCCCAGGTGGTTTCCTTTTACTGCCCTGGTCCAGAGGAGGGCTTTCAGGAGGTGTGGGATGTTAGCAAATGATTGTCAGGTGTTCTGCGTTTTCCTACAGTCCCTTCCCCTGATTGGTCCCTTGCTTCTCCACTCCTAGGAGCCACCCTCTAGGCCTACACCCATCACCTGCAGATTTGATCTCTACCTAACAATATGAAAGATCCCTTAGGCTGTCTGATGTTCCCCAGGTTCCTGCACTCCACAGGGGACCTGAGCGGGACCCCTGCCGGAGGGAGGTGGGACATGCGCAGCCGAGTTTAATTTCCTGAGTCTAGCACCCCTTGCTTCTCACACCCTCAGTCAGGCTGCTGAAGTCAGCAGTGTGGTCACTCATACACGATGTAATGTGGGGCCTGGACTTGTCACCAGGTGGCTGCATCCTCAGGGCTCTTTACAAAAGGTCCAGAGCAAAGAGGACTAGGGCAAGTCTACGCGAGAGCTGAGTGGAGAGAACTGATCCTTGGGTGTGTGGTCATGCGGCACACGTGGCTCCGGGAGAGTGAAGTTCTCATCTCTCGTCCCACTCAGAAGAGAAGTGCTTTAGGCACTGGCATCACCTCATCCCATCCCGCCAGCAGCTCAGCCAGGTGGGGTCTCTCAGTTGTTCTGTCCCCACACTTACCTGCGAGCCTGTCTATGGTTGCAGTTAAAACCAGCAATGAGGGCCGGGCGCAGTGGCTCACGCCTGTAATCCTAGCACTCTGGGAGGCCGAGGCGGGCGGATTGCTCGAGGTCAGGAGTTCGAAGCCCGCCTGAGCAAGAGCGAGACCCCCGTCTCTCCAAAAATAGAAATTAATTGACCAACTAAAAATATATATAGAAAAAATTAGCCGGGCATGGTGGCGCATGCCTGTAGTCCCAGCTACTGGGGAGGCTGAGGCAGGAGGATCGCTTGAGCCCAGGAGTTGAGGTTGCTGTGAGCTAGGCTGACGAGACAGCACTCACTCTAACCTGGGCAACAAAGCCAGACTCTGTTTCAAAAAACCAGCAATGACCTCTTCACCTTTCTCTGCCCCATGATTCCAGACAGTTGGTTTCAGAACCTGTTCCTCACAGGCACCATAAAACTGGAGCCTCTCACAGAAGCTGTGCAGTTCTGCAGACAAAGTCTCAGATTTCATTTGGTATCAGCATTCTTAAAAGTTGTTTCTCCATAAACCATATTTCCTGGGCTTCTCCCCACAAAAGCATTTGAATGTGTTGCAAAGAATGACACCAGTCTCACATCCATCCCCCTGTGTCTCGTGTCCT